CATGCTTCCAGATGCAAATATAAATGAGTGATTTTTTTGCAAAAACAGCAAACTGTTTAAGAACCCACTTCTTAAAAATATATAATTTTTGCATATTAATACACAGATATCTACATCTTTGTAACCACGTGGTAGTCCAAGATATCGATATACCATAATTAATTTATGATTATTGGACATTTACTCTCCTTTTTTCACTGTTGTTGTCATTATTATTAATAATGCTGCAAGAGTCATCCCCATAAACATATTTTTCTGCATTTGTCCAATTACATCCCTAGGATAAGAATTCCTATAGGCTTACTTCTGAGTCAGGGATTTCTTGGGAGTGTTGTCAACAAAGCGTTAAGAGTAAAACTACACCAGGATGTTGGATTTAGTCACATAACAATCTTTCTCCACATAGACTTTTCTTGAATTCCACTTAGGTGTCTATGACATTGCACTGTGATTCAGAAAGTCAGGAGCTGTCCTTTCCATAAAAAATCAGCCTCTCCCTCCCAACCTCCCCAGACCTCCTTTGGGGAATACCATGCCAATGCCATGAAGTGAAATTGAACTTGGTCAATAACTACTGGATTTCCTGGTCCAGCAACAAAGACTTAGGATGGCCCAGTGCTGGGTGCCCCATGGTGGGCACCACAAGTGTAGACCACATGAAAGGTTTTCTATTGTTCAAAGTTTTGTTCTTGTATAAACAGAAAGACAAGGCAATGGACTCTTTCTAAAGAGACCAGGGACTAGAAGTGACCTGTGGAATCATCTAATCCCTTGCCGTGGGGATGCGGGAAATGAAAGGATCATAGCATAAGCATTTCAATAATCATTAAATGTATCCCAAAAGTGTTTCACACACAATGATTCAACCAGTTCAGGGCAGAGCTTGAACATACCCCATGTCTTGGACACCTAGAACAATTCTTAGCCTCTTCTTCCCCATGTTTTAAATTGGAAACTGAGGTCTTGGGGGTCACATATTGGCTCAGTCACGGCAAGAGATCCTGCTGCTACCACTCTCAAGGGCTGATGGTGCACACCTCTTCCCAACTCAGTATTCACAGACATCACATTGGTAACTTGAAATCAGTCACTGTGGAACTATTTACACCACAGAAATTGGCAAACACCACAAAGCAGAGCTTCCCCCATCCCACCTTTCCAAGAGCCGGGTGTTAAACATTTACCAGCACATCACTGGTCACAGTCCAAGAATGCACACTGTGAGCAGGTGACTTCAGTTTTCTCAATTAACCTAAGAACAGCCTCTGTCTCCAAAGCATTTTACTTCATATTCCACAAAAAAATATACCCTTGGCCGGGCTCGGTGGCTCAGCCTGTAATCCAAGCACTTTGGGAGGCCGAGACAAGTGGATTGCCTGAACCTGTGTGTTTGAGAACTGCCCGGACAACTTGGCGAGACCTCATCTCTACAATAAAATCAATTAGCCGGGCGTGGTCGCGCATGCCTGTAGTTCCGGCTACTCAGAAGGCTGAGGCAGAAGGATCGCCAGAGCCCAGCAGGTGGATGCTGGGGTGGCCGTGAGTGTGCCACTGCACTCCAGCCAGGGCAAGAGAGTGAGACTCCAACTCAAAAAAAAAAAAAAAAAAATACCCTCAATCTATTATGGCCCCCTTCTTGCCAGCAGATGTCTTCCTGAATGCTTGCTACAAGCCAGGCCCCTCCCTGAGCAGGTATGATAGTTTATTTGGTCTTCACAATCTTGCTGGGAGATAGTTATGATAAATTCCATCTTACAGGTGGGGAACTTGAGACTTTAAATGACTTAACTACAGACTAAAGCCTGTCTTGGGTTGGTTTCTCCTAGAAGTAAACCCTGAGACACGGATTCAATTTCAAGTGCAAGGGTGGTGGGGAAGTGAGCTGGGGAAGGGAGGGCAACCAAGGAAGGGAACAAGCTATGAGTATGAGTGAGTGGGACTCAGTCCCGCTAGGGAACTCTTAGAGACAGCAGAGATCGTGCCTCAAAGTTGCTCCGACAGAGAATAAACTTCTCCCATCAATTACTGGGGAAGGCCAAGAAAACTTGGGCAGGGGGCTGACCGCAGAATGCCCTTCAAACTCCAAATCTGATATTCTTTTCATGGCACTTACAGAAATGGACAGTTAATCAAACAAGCAACTGAGTAACAACTATGAGTAAGACGCCATGCTGGTAAAGTAAACCCATTTTGCCAAGCCACTTTGGGCTGGCATGCAAGGAAAGCACATGGTATCTCTGCCAATTTTTATCAACATAAGGAATGGGAGAAGCCCTTGCCAGTTATGTTAACCATCTCACAGGAATCAACCAAGTGCCCTCCGAGCTTGGCTCCCTTCTTCAGTAAGAGGTTCCTCTCTGATTCCGCCATAGCTGCCTTGGGCAAGAATTCCCAGCCTCAACCTATCACCCCCAACAGCCGCATCGACCTGTAATTATAGGCTCCACAGTCTGCCATCCCAGCAGAGCTGACCAAAAAATGACCCACTGGCCACCCAGCAGACTGAGGATGTACTTATTTACTGCACCCTCGTATCCCCATGTCTCTTGCCCCAGTCACTGACTCCCACCTCATGCAGTCTTGTGCTCCATGGGAACCCACAAGCAGGCCAAATAAATGAAGCCGGCAGTCATGGTGCTGTGGGAGCTCACCCCGCCACAGGACTGTTTACAATTCTTCGGTGAGGCAGAGGGGTGTTGACATATGACAGTATCATTGGGCTAAACAACTGGATGGCATTGTAGGAAGAGGGTCAGGGGACAGGAGAGGACTGCTACCCTTGCTTCACAAACCCAGCTGTGGCAGCTGCAGATTGAAGACAGAAGCTGGACATCTTGTTCCATTCCAAGCATACCACTGAGACCTGCCAGGTTCTCTCCCGGGGGCAGAGGAGGAGACTGCTTTGGGGACCACCCCTGTCCATCTCCCAGCCTCTCCTTGGAACTCTGGCAACCCGGCCCTGCCTCTCTGACCCTACCTCCCACTCAGTGAGGATACTTCCTGCCTAAGTATCCTAAAGAGGACTGAAAGCAATAATCAGGTCAAGGTTCTTTTGTGCTTTGATGACAGGTCCCCTTCCGGCCAAGCAGTGCAGTCCAGCCCTCCGAGGCAGCAGACACACAACCCAGTCCTGGGAACCACTCCAGCCAACTCCCTCAGTCATTCCCAAGCAGCTCACGCACAGAATGCAGACACGAAGCCTGGCTCCGGGGTACCAGGAAACAGACCAAGAAGTAAAAGCAAAACCAGTGGGGGACGAGGACATCCCAGGTGGACTGAAGCATCTGAGAACAAGGACTTACAAACAAGGTGCAGGGCTGTCTACCATCCCCTACTGACTCCTAAGACAGCACAAACTGGGAAGAAGGCCTTAACATCCCAACAAAGGAAAGAAGAGGGGTGGATGGTGTGTCCCCAAGGACAGAGTGAGACCATTCTCAGTAGGGCAGGAGTGATGCTAGCTGGAGATAGGGCAGGTGCGGGAGCAGGCCCACTCGGCAAGGTGCAGAGGACACACTACACCCCTCCCTTCCCCTGCTCTGCAATGGGCACTCACCATTCTAATGGAATTTCAACAGCATAAAAATGAGGCTAGTGGGCTGGGCTCTGAGGCTTAGCCTGTAATCCCAGCATTTGGGAGGCCGAGGCGAGTGGATTGCCTGAACCCGTGGGTTCGAGACCAGCCCGGGCAACTTGGCGAGACCTCATCTCTACAATAAAATAAAAAATATCCCGGTGTGGTAGCGTGCATCTGTAGTCCCAGCTACTCAGAGGGTTGAGGTGGAAGGATCGCTGGAGCCCAGAAGGTTGATGCTGGGGTGGCCGTGAGCATGCGTGACACTGCACCCCAGCTTGGGTGAAGGAGTGAGACTCCAACTCAAAAAAAAATGAGGCTAGTGGAGCACTGGGATATGTCTAGGCTGCACCTCAAGGAGTATCTTGTGTACCTCTGGTATTCCACCTCTGTTCTCCCATCTGCCGAAGGAGGAGCGGGACATCTTTGAGCCTCCCCAGTACAGGGAATCCCAGACTGTACCAGCCCATGCTCCCTGGTGCTCAGACAGTCTGTGCACTATGACGCCATCTTCTCCTAGGGCAAAAACTACCCTTCTGTCCAAAACTACCCCCCACCCTGAGCTCAGCCATCATTTGAGACCCTCTTGTACCCTGGCCCCCACCGAGGCCCACTGGACTGCCACAGCTCCCAAGCTTCAGGCTGACCTGTCCAGAGGGGAAAGCACAGCTGCTGCCACACTTGTGACCGCATTCCAAGGTCTCTGATCCCAAATGGCCACCACCCAGGTAGATGTCACACTTAGTCCTTGGGACACTGCATTTGAATACAAGTCTTTTGTTTTCTTTTTAAATAACTGTCTTCAAACAAGTCAATATATCTTAACCATGAGAGATGTCTTTAATTCCTTAGACCACCTGCAGCAAAAGTTCCTAGTAAGTAAATCTGAAGTGGTTAGTAAGATAAGGTTAACTCGCAGATTCCTCATCCAGATGCTTCTGAGAGAAGGATCTTGGCTCTGTCTCCCAGCAGCTTAAAAAAATCATGGTTTGGGATGAGACTGGTGGCCCACACCTGTAATCTCAGCACTTTGGGAGGCCGAAGCATGAGGATCACTTGAGCCCAGGAGTTCAAGACCGGCCTAGGCAACATAGTGAGACCTCATCTCCACAAAACAAGAAACAATTAGTCTGGTGGTGGCCTGCATCTTTAGTTCCAGCTACTTGGGAGGCTGAGGTGGAAGGATCTCTTGAGCCTAGGAGGTTGAGGCGAGGGTGACCGTGATCCTGACACTGCAAACCAGCCTGGGCCACAGAGTGAGATCCAGTCTCAAAAAAAATAAAAAATTAAAAAATCATGGCTTCAAATTCTTTTCTCCCATTGTACCAAGAGCAGCTGTGGCAGGAACGGGAGCCCTCCTCCAGGACAAAGTGTTACTTGTCAGCTCATCAGTCACACATTCAGTCATCACATACAAGGTACTTACTATAACCCAGGCCCGCTGTAGACACAGCCTCTGCTCTCCAGAACACGTTCTAGGCCCCGAGACACCGCACACCTGGGAATGAAGTGGTGCAGTCTTGAGCAGCCTCGCTCCGCGACTGTCACTGGGGCGCAGAGGCGCTGCGAACAGCACAGGACCCGCACAGCGCCCCAGATGGGAGAAGGAGCCCGCGGTCTCCCTGTCAGGCCACCACCACTCTGCTGTCCCCAGAGCTCTCCCTGCTTAGAGCCCAGTGCCAAGTGAGAGCTCCAAATGCAGAAGTGGCCAGGGCCCGCCCCAGCACCCACCGCCCTCGGGGCGAGAGAGGGCGCAAGCGAAGGCCCCAGCGACCCCAGGCACCAGCTCTGGAGGCGGGCCGGGAGACCGCAAAGGGGAAGCGCCCCAGGACCAAGGGGCCCGCGCACCCTGCGCCCTTCTGGAGGCCGCGGGAGCCGTAAGCGCCGCCACCCAGTCCCCGGGAAGCCATCCATCGCGCCGAGAAGGAGGCGCGTTGGAGTCGGGCACGCTCCAGGGCTGTCGGGGCCTGCCCAGCCTGCACCTGCCACCCGCGCCTCCTCGCCAGGGAGTTTAGTGAGTGCGACGGAGACCCCTTCCCGTCGCCGCCCCCGGCGCGAAGAGAAGCCAGGACCCCAGGGATCGGAGAAAGAGGACCAGCTGCGAGCCACAACTTTCGTCGGCCAGAAAGCGGGCAGGCGGGGGTTCCGCGCCTACGCGGCCCCTGGGGGAGTCCGCGCGCCCGGGGAGCCCCGCGGCCGGGGGAGGAGGGAGAGGACCAGAGGCAGGCGAGGACCGGAGGCTGTCCCGGAAGGGGCAGGGGCCACCGCGGGAAAACTTTCGGCAAGGTGGGGGGACGCAGGAGAGAGGACAGTCCCGCTCCCCGCCGCTTGCGC